CCCCAGGGGTGGGGGCAGCGGTGGGGGACAGCCCCATACAACTGCTTAGGGATGCGTGAAGGCAAGAGCCCCCCTCCATCCCTGGGGTAGCCCAGCTCACCTGGAGCTCCCTCCTCTTCCTCGGAAGCCCGTAAGACCTCGAAGCTGATCTCCAGCTCTTCCTCCACCTTCTCCTCTTCCTCAATGGCTCTCAGAAGCTCCTGCTCCTTCTCCGCTCTCTTGCCGGGAGCCCTGCGGGTCGTCCGCTCCCTCTTCTCCCCCGCGGCCCCGGCTCGGCGGGCGCTTGGCCGTCCTCTGCGGGGCTGAGCAACGCTGCGCTGACCGCCGGACCCCAACGAGCTCGCCTGGCACCCCACGGATTTGGGGGGCAGAGCTTTCCGGGCACAGGACATCTTGCGGGTAACGGCGGGGGTCAACCCTGCTTCGGGACCCTCCGTGTCACTGTCATCACTGAACGTCACCTAAAGCGGAGGGACAGAGGGGGTGTCAGGGCTGGTGCCGGACGCGCCGGGCTGCCCCTCACCTCCCGCCCTACTCACTTTTAGGCGAGATTTGATTCTCCCCGAGACTTTGGGAGCTCGCAGGAGCCGGGACTTGCTGGCCGGCGGGGAGGATTCGCTGAAGATGGTGAAAGGAGTCCTGGAAGCGGGGGCTGCCCGCGCCTTGGCGGGGGGACAGGCTTTCTGGCGCGGGGTGCAGGGCGCCATCGCCGGGCGGATGACGATGGGGGGCACCTCGCCGTCCGAGTCACCCAGAGCAAAGACGTCGTCGGTGTTCGGCGCGGACGGGGGCTTCGCTCTCTGGTTCTTCTTCGCTCGGGGCTTGGGCACGGCGGGGACCAACGCTGCCTTGTTCTTGCGCCTTTGGGGTTGAGCCTTGTCCGTCTTGAGGGTTTGGGGCACGGCCACCGCTTGGGGCTCCGCCGGAGTGAGCGCGGGCAGTTGCGAAGTCCAAGAGCTGGCAAAGCAGCCATCCAGGGAGTCGCCGTGCTTGGAGGCCAGGCGGCAAATGGTAGCCATGGCTTTGGCGAGCAGCAGGCTGGCCCTGGAGACCTCCAGGTTGGGCAGGTGGGGTCTGCAGGATGCTAAGAAGGTCAACCCCGTCTCCAGCTCCTCCTGGAGCTCCTCCGCCAGCTGGGGGCTGGCCAGGCTCTGAAGGGCTAACGCGGCGTAGCCGGCGGCCACTAAATCGTCTAAGAGCTCCAGCGTAGGCAGGTCGGGGCTGACGGAGCCGCCCCGCAGCTTGTCCCGCAGCACGGCGGCGAAGCGGGCGGCCACGGTGGCGCAGCGCGGCAGCACGGCGTGGATCAGACCCAGTCCCTCGGCCGCGCTGCCCGCTGCCAGCTCGCTCTGGGCGCAGGAGAGGAGCCAGCGCAGGCAGAGAGCCGAGAGGGCCAGGTCGGAGCAGAGGCAGCACGGACAGCTTTCCGGGTGGGTGAGGAAGGCCAGTCTCTTCTTCCTCTTCGGTTTCAGCTCCGGTGAAGCAGTGAGAGCATCCGCTTTGGTCAGCCCGCTCGCCGGGGCCACAAACTCCAGCGCGGGACCCTTCAGGAATCCATCCTCTTCCCCAGGGGGCTCAGGGATGGGGTCCCACGGCTTCTTGCCCTCGAGTTTGCCCTTCCTGGGCAGGATCTTCCTCTGGCTTTTCTGCTTCTTGCTGGCTTTAAACTCTGCAGGTGGAGGAGGGGTGGTGGTATTTTGGCATTCTCCCCACACAGCCAGCCCGAGGGGTAAGGGAAGGCGGACCCAACACCACTGCTTTCCCCGTCTACGCCTTTATCGGCTGGAGGAGTCGCTCAATGAGCCAAAACGTGGCTCAGAATCACCCCTCGCACCTCCACACCCTCCTGGAACGACCAGGAATGCAGATCTTTCAACCTCAGCCCAAAAGTGGGCACAAGAAGGGTTATCTCCAGCACAGCCCAGGCTCGGGGCTCACCTCACCTCCCTCCTCCATTCCCCCCTCCCCGGAGCGGGGACTCACCGGTGTCAGACTCCAGGAGGAAGAGAGCCTGCTGAAGGTCAAAATGGCTCAGCTCCAGCTCGCTCTGCTGCAGTTCCAGCTGGGCCTTCAGCACCAGGAAGGAAACGCACCTAGAGGAGAGGGAAAACCATCCCTCAGAGACTCCCCCACTGCAACAACCGTCGCTCCATCCCCAGGGCCGTGCGGGAGGGAGGGAGGCAGGCGGGCAGCGAGGAAACAAGCTCACGTCTGAGCCAAGAAGCCGAATTCATGGGATAACACACCCCAGAGCAGCCGCGTGCTCCACACTAAGCCAAGAAGTGGCCAAACAACCTTCCCACCAGGGCCAGTCCCCCACCAGTGTCACCCAGTGTCCCCCGTGGTCTCAGGACAGCTCATCCCTACCCAAGTGTGTCCCCCACCCCGAGCTCAGGGATGGGTTGTTTCCCCCCCCTCCATGCTTGCTCAACTCACCACCGGATGGTTTGCAGTTTCATGGCCAGCTTGACGGCTTCCAAGCAGAAGGCTTTGGCTTTACACACCCCCTCCAGCCTGCTGAGGAGGGCCACCAGGTGCTCGGAGCAGGCCAGCATGTCAGCCAGCACTTGCCACTTCAGCAGCAGGTTGTCCCCTGCCACGGAGGGACAAAGGAAGATGACCGGAGCTGCTCCCCCCGGAGAGGCAGGCGAGGAGCCCGACCCTTTCCAGAGGAACGGTTGGGTTTCGCTCCAGGCGAGCGACCGACTCACCGTAATCCACAAATTGGGTGTCAGACGTCGTTGTTTGACAGCCCAACACGTCGCTGCCCATCAGTAGGAGGATGATGCTGCGGAAGAGCTTGTGGGCTTCGGCGAGAGCCGTCTCGGGCGTTTTCCACCCTGCGCGAGGGCGGCCGTGAATATCAGCATCAACCGAGACCCTCCCCAGCCCCAGCGCAGAGCCACTCCCCCCACATTCCCTCTCCTCACCCCCAAAAGGGGTCGGTTTGGAGAAACCCAGAGGTCAAACGTTTGCACGGAGCTTCGCCCGCAACCCTTTTCAGCCCGGTGCTCACCAGGAGGGTTTTAAATACCCCTCCAACGACTCACCGTGCCCAAAGATCCGCTGCCGCAGCTCCGGCGAGAGGCGGGCAGGGGGAAGGCTCAGGGAGGCGGCCGCCAGCCGGAGGACGTGGGCTCGCAGGAGGTACCAGACCTTTGTGATTTTTTGCAGAGCCGGGTTCCGGAGCACCTCCAGCAACAGGGTGAGACCCTCTTCAATCTGCAGAAGGAGTTAAAAAAACAAAACAAACCCCAAACAAGCAGAGTTACCGTTTGTGGTCCAGGATGTTTCCACACCCAAGGTCCCTAGTGAGATGTACTGAGATAACCAGAGCTGCTGCAGTCTCCTCTTGCCCTCCGACACATTTCTGAGGCAGAAAAGGGTTTTTTTTGGGGTGTTTTTTTTTTTTTTTTTTTTTTTAGGAGCCCCCCCTGGTGGTTGACACAGCACAGCTGGCTGGGGAGCAGGAGGCAGGTTTGCTGCAGCAGCAGGTAGGAATCGTTGCCGCTGTCAGCTTCCCGCAGGCAGGACTCCGTCTCCTCCAGGAAAAGCTGGAAACCCAACGCACCGGTACGAGGGCTGCGGCCCCGGGAATGGGTCGAGCTCACCCCGCGGTCCCTTCCCTCCCTGCCAGCCTTACCTGGGCGTAGTTGGGACACTCCAGCTGGAAAAGCAGCTTGGTGATCTGGCACAGGGCACCGGCCATGCCCAGGCTGTCCCCGAGTGCGCCACAGAGGGCTCTGACCAGGAGGTAGCTCTCCATGGCTTGTAAGGGCTGAGGGCAGGAAAAAAAACCCCAAAGTTACACTCAGAGGTCACCTCAGAGGGACTCTCGGCGCCCGGGGAGCTGTCATCCCACCGGTCACCCCTCCACCAGCAGTGGTACCTTGGCCATCAGCTTGTAGAGAGCCGCCAGGAGGTGCAGGGAGGCCACGGTCTGCTCGGGGCTGCGCACGGCCGGGACGCCCGACGTCGCCAGGAGCTGCTTCCACAAGGTGAAGGCATCATCCAGGCTTTTGGAGAGAGCTGAGGGGATAACCCCGGGTCTGAGACACACACCCCCCTTCCCGGCCCAAAACCGGGCGCTCCCAGAAAGCCCCTTCACAAAGGGCCTAAAGCCACCGGCGTTCTCACCGGTCTCTGTCGCCAGGTTGAAGGAGATGCCGTCGTACAGGAACCTGTCCTCCAGCAGCTTGCTTTCGTAGTTGAGGTCATTGGGCTCAAAGTCATCCAGGTTCTTCAGCCCCTGAGCTTTGGCTCTCTGGTCCCTCTCTATGCTCTGCAGCGGGGGGAGAAGGCAGCGGCAACGCACATTAAGAGACACCACGGGGTTCCCGGTGGGGTCTGGGTGGCTTTTGGTGGCCCCGGTGCAGCGCTGAGCGTTGCCAGTGAGGTGGAGGGCACTACGCACGTGCACAGAGTCCCCGTGTTTCCGGATCGGGACCCGTTTCGGCATCCCACGGCCCCCACTCTGCCACCCCCACCCACCTTCTCCAGCTTGGACTCCAGGGTGCAGATGTAGAGCCAGAGCAGAGCCTGCGCCCGGTCATCGAGGAGCCGGTCCCGGTTCTGGGCACTCTTGGGCACCAAATCCAGCAGCCGCAAAGCTTCGTGGACCGAATCCAGGGAAGAGCTGCTGGAGAGAGGGATTAGAAAAAGCCTTTTTGCCCACAAAACCCCTGGAGCATTTTAAGGGGAAGGACAGACACACTCCAGGACCCCAAATGGACAGAGCTCTCCCCCTGAGGACCCTCAAATGCTCCTCGGGGACTTTCAGGGACACAGGGAGGTGATGCCGGCGCGCCGGCGTCCACCCACCACTCCGTCTGCTGGGCGTAGCTGTGGTAGCACAAAACCTGGGCCAGCTCCGTCAAGCCGACGGCTCGCTCGTGCAGGTGGCCGCTCTCCTCCGAACAGATCTCCAGCAGGTCGCAGAGGACGTTGTAGCGTTCCTGCCCCGTGTCAGCTCGGACAGTCTTATAGGCCTTCAACTCCGCAAAAAGGACGGTCACCAAGGTCTCTGTGTCCAGGCTGTGCCCCTCCAATCCTTCCTTCAGGGTCCTGAGGGAAACTGGAGCTGTAGGAGGGGCTCTGCAGGGCGCAGTGGGGCCGGGCACATCTCCCAGGGAGAAACATCATCGTTTTACCAGCTCGGGAACCGCAGCTCTCAAGATATCCACCCCCCACGCACCGGGCAGCCTTCTAGGTCTTACCGCAACTGTAACTCCTCGGCCCCTTGTTTCGCAGCATCTGTTTTGACTCTGACCCAAAGGGAGACGGGTTCTGCCAGCAGCTCCCCGATCCGACCCCGCAGAGCGACCAGCCACTGCGCCACGCACTCCAGCGCTCTCTCCAGCCGTCCCAGCTTGCGGTAGCTCTCCACCTGCAGCCTGAAGCATTTGTGCAGCTGCGGGGAGAGCACAGAGAGAAAACCGGCTTCAGAGCCAAGTCCCCACCTCCCATATCCCATACCACAGCCCCTCCTTCCCCGCCTGGGCGAAGGGAAGACCTCGGAACAGGGAATTGGGGTTGTTCCAGGAGGAATAGCTGGTCCCATCCTCTCCTTTGCTGCCCTGGCACAGGAATCGGACCTTTCGGTTCAGCCCCGTTTCTGGCAGAAGTACCAGAGAAACGCTTACCCTCTCCGGGGGGATCTCCGGACACGCGTAGGCATCCACTGCCTGCAGCCGCTCGCAGAAGAGCTCGCAGACGGAGCTGGCCTCCTCATGAAGGTTCTGGTTGTAGAAGATGTAGGCCAGCTTGAACGCGCACGACACTGCCGCAAGCGAAACCCAAATATTAAAGACGTGATGGAGAGAGAACGACTCCCATTTTTTCTCCCAGGGGACGGTCACCATCTGCCCTGTCCCCACCAGCCACCTATTTTGCGTGACAGAGAACCCCCTCGTTGCTTCCCCCACCATACACAGACACAGAGCTCTGCAACCGCATTCGACCTGAGCTGGGTTTGGTGCCACCCGCCGTGGCACTGACCGGTGACATCGAGGTACTTGGCGCGCTCGCTCTCGGGGAGCCCCTCCAACGCCTCCAGCATCCAGGCCACGCTCCTCCCGCAGCCCGCCGTCAGCCGCTCCAGACCCGGCCAGCCCACCGCCTGCAACGGCTGCGGGGAGAGGGAGCCCCGGAAGCAGGAGGGTACCGCCCCCCCCCAGCGGCAGGGCCCGTCCCCTCCGCCGCCGCCGGTACCTGGGAGCACTGGAAGGCATCGTAGGCCACGCTGGCAAAGAGCTGGAGGTTGCGGTAGAGCAGCTGCTTCACCATGAGCTTCTGTTTGACACCGTCAGGAGGGACCTGAAGAGGGGACGGAAGGAGAATAGACCCGTTTATAGACCTGGGCAGCACCGAGCGCTGCCGCTCTGGATAGGGACACCAGAGAGGGACACTCCACTGATGGATTAAAGGGAACATCGAGCCCGGAGAAGGGTTACAAATCCCCCAGCTGCTCACAGAGGCTCTGATCGACCACGGTCCGCGGTCACCCCACTCCCAGCCCCGGTCTTACCCTCTCCAGCAGCCGGTGCAGGACACGGCAGTGCCCTTCAGTGAAATCACAGAGGCCGAGCACGTCATCCCGGCCGAAGGGCTGCTCCTTGCTCCTCTTCACGTACTCGCCGAGGGAGGAGACGATGAACTGGCAGCTCTCAGCCAGCACCCTGAGGAACGGCTCCGAGGCCTCCGCTGTCGCACCGAGAGCCGCCGCAGCCTGGGGGGAGGGGGGCCCCACCGGGGCCGTG